CACATATTTCTCTTAACGAAGTATAAAAAAGAAATCGAATCATATGTTCCTTGAAACAAACCATTCATTATCTGACATAAGCTATGAAAATTAATAATCAATTTTTTTTTATTCTTTCTTCTCATTTTCAAACCACTTCCAACACCATACAGTAAACAGAATATAAAATCAATTCTCGAACAGGTCTTTACTCTTTTTGTTACCCAAAAAAACTAAAAACGAAAACAAAAATAAAAGTCAAAAATAAAAGTTTGTTTAATGAGATAAAATTTTATCCAATGGTTCCATAAATCGTTTTTCAAAATTTATTGTACTAAAACGATCAACACTTTCACGTGCACGTTCACGTATTTGTTGACGTTCATCCGATTTCATTTCTAGTATTTGCCGCATTGTTGTTGCATACGAATCAATATCAGTAGCAAGAAAACCTGTTTGACCTTCATCAATAATATCCATTTTTGGACCACCAGATTTATGTGCAAGAACAATTGCGCCAGCAGCCATCATTTCCACAATACCTAAAATAAAAAAATATAAATTTCATTTATTTCAAAAAAAAAATATATATTATTTCTTCAAACCTATTCCAAAATGTTCATTCCACATTGTATGTAATCCAATCATTGCTTTATTTAAATCATTTTTTAATTCTGTAAAATTAATATTTAATTTAAATTCTACTTCATCGTTCATATTTAAATTTTCAATAAGTGTTCGTAATTTTTCAACACGTTTTTTATCATCTTCATGTCTTACACTACCAATAAGTATTAATCGTAATTTTTGACGATGTTCAGGAATTCTAAATAAACAAAAACAAGAAAATTCTTATTAAAATTAAAAAAAAAATTAAAAATATACCTTTGTAAAAGTTCATGAAAAGATCGTATTTGTAATTCATGATCTTTTTCTGGTCGAAATTGTCCAACAGATACAATTGTTTTTATTATTTGTTCATCGTCATTAACTAATGGCATTAATAAAAATTGTTTAACATCACATGGTGGATAAACAAGATAAATTGAATTCAATGGTAATTTCCATATTTGTTTTATATGTCCTTGTGTCCATGTTGAATTACAATAAGCTATTTGAGCACATTGACCACACCAACCATATATATATGCAAATATATGATAATAAATTAATTTTATTTGACTAACATTTGAATTATTAGCTATTAAACGACGATTATTATAAGTTAATCGTCGTTCTTTAATTCGTTCAAGCATATCTGTACTTATTGTTGGATAATGAACATAAGCAAATATTGGTATTGATGCTAAATAATAAAATAATGGATATGTAAATGCATAACCCATTGAATCAATATAAATATCAGGTATAAAACGTATCAATGCTTCGAAACCTAAAATCATTGAACCGATACTTTGTCCTAACAAAGTAAACATTTTATAATATTTAGCTTCAACAAAACCACGTGTTCGAAGATAAATAAATGTTATTGATGATTGATAAATATCCATATTCATATCAAAACGTTGTTTAACACGATGAAGAATTTCATCAGGTGTTGCATTTATATCACCTGTATAAACAATTATTTGAATATCATTTTTATATTTTTTCAAAATCGATTCAATAGCAGTCCATAAAACACGCTCACCACCTCCACCATCATTACAATATGGATGAAAAAAAGCAACACTTAAACGTGATTGTCGATCATTTATTGTCCATGAACGACATTTTTTACGATGCCATGGTATAAATACAAATTTTAAAATAGGAATTATTGTAATAGTCCATGCAAGCAAATTTATTATAAACCAAATCATGAATGTTGTCAAACAAATATTGAAAAGAAAAAATGTAAACGCAGATAGAAGTATAAGATTAACCAATACAATACCCCATATAACAAATAATATTCCTTGTAATATTCGTTTTAAAAAAGATGACATATATATTAAAACAATTTGTTCAATATTACGATGGGATTTTACTAAAACAATAAAAACTAACGTAATTTTACGTGTACATTCATTTGTGGTGTAGATGGCGCTTTGAAAAATGATCAACGTTTATTTATATGAAAAAAATAAAAGAATTGGAAATTTTATTTCAAAAAAGTTTTTTGATAAATTTTGTTTTTGTTAAACTTTAAATTTTAATTTCTAATATGATTAATTTCATTGTTCGAAAATATGAACCAATTATTATAGTTGCCAAAACTTCTTTGTCTTCCTTTTCTTCTTGCCTTGTTTTTTTTTCTTCGGCAATGGTTTGTATTGTATATGATTAAACGTTCTCGTTTGTTTTGATTTAAGCGAAAAAAGAATATGCATACATATAATATTTCTTACCGCTTCTTCTCTCACACTAGTCATGTTCTTCTATCGTTGGCAATTTCCCCTATCTCTTTTCAATGAGACGACTTGATCGTTGCATAATGACATAGAAGACTGTTATTTTCCTATTGAACGAACGATTACTTGTATGTCATCTAGTTGATTTATTGTTATTTTAAGGAGGCAAGAAAAATGAGACTTGATGGTTGCTGTACTCATCGCTTTCTTCACATTATTATATCTCTACTGATAAACAAATCCATTACATCAGCAATAAATATCATTTGTTATTGTTCGACTGAAACATAACCTTATTGCATAAAAAAGAATAATAACTTGAATGTTATTTGTCTCGTTTCTTTCTTTCAAATATATTCTCTTTTCTTGTGAGAATCAATTTCATTTTTTTT